GTTCTGATACAAACGTCACTACAGAATCACGGAACATGTGTGTGCTCTGAGGTAAGTGTCACGACTGATTACGGACACGTGTGTTCTGATACAAACGTCACGACAGATCACGGAACATGTGTGTGCTCTGAGATAAGTGTCACGACTGATTACGGACACGTGTGTTCTGATACAAACGTCACTACAGATCACGGAACATGTGTGTGCTCTGAGGTAAGTGTCACGACTGATTACGGACATGTATCTCCTGATATAAATGTCGCGACTGACCACGAAACACGTGTGTTCTTATACAAACGTCACGAATGACCACGAAATATTTTCTCTCATCTAAGTCAACGGTTTATGACTTGTTAAGTCAATGATACAAACTAACAAAACAAACGAGCTAAAACTTTCTTGTCTAATATCTTTAATAAACAAATCTATATTACATCAGTATACACATAAGTAAGTAGATGATCCATAGTTTACAAAACAAAATAAGATGTTTCGCAAAAAAAAATTATATATATATATATATAATCAGCTTAGAAAATATCTTAAAAAGACAATATTAGATGATCGTTTGTACGATGCTAGTGGAGATCGGTTTTATTTAAGAATTATTCATTTTGTTTTAAAAAGGTCAGAAAGGAGCTGTCGCACGCGCCACTTGGTGCTACGTGGCCTGGTACAGGCCTGAATTTTCAATACCATCAGCAAAGTAGAGCTTACATTAGAGACTCTGCTAAACAAAACACGAGTCCTCAATCAAAACCACTTTCAATATTGATATTACATACCGTTTATTATTCAGCATGAAACTTACATGTTCCAATCCTAGCTTAAAAGCAAATAGACAAAAATGCAGGTCATACGAACACAACTTATATGGGTAGTGGGAAGACCTCAAATAAGGGGAACACGAGTTTCAGGAGAACCAAATAAAATCATCATTAGAAATTGGGTCATCAAAGCTGGAGGGTCGGAAACATTCCTGAAAAACTGCTGAATAGAATATGCCAAAGAAAACATTAACAGTTCTCGTAGCTATGAACACGTTTTATGGACTGTGATTTTTCAAGATAATGGTTAAATTTAATGTCAATCTGTTCTTTAAATCATTAAAAAGAAAGTATCAACTATATGAGTAATCACTGAAATGGACTCACTAACAGCTAATCACAGAATAAGTACCAGTGCGATAAAGACACGTAGATATCAGTTGCATTGTATTTTAATCTATAACCAAAGACAGAGAACTTTTCCTGGAACTCTGATTTTAATAAATATACCGAAGTTTTATATAGCACTTTATATATGTGTTGACTTTCGACCTTCGTATACGTAGTACAAGTACGATGATTGGGTTGTGTTATTTAACACGCTATAACTACCGTTAGGCGTTTTCCCTCGTCTATAAGTACTGTACTTCGGCGTTCCATTGGGACTCGGAAAATTTCGTACAAAGGTCTAAAAATACAACCTTTTTATTCACTTCAAAAGTTTTTAAATGACGCTGAAAACCAAGCGTTGTGTACACATGGAGCACATTAACACACATTAAGTATGTTTTGTACAAGTATAAAGGACGTTAGAGTGCTAATGTTGTATTTCTGATTAACCGCATTTAGCATACTTAAAATAAAAAGATTTGGTAGAAAACGTACGTACCAAAGCGTGTGAATTAGGTTTAACGAATGACATCAAATTTAGCATCTATGCTGAGATAAGACTAACTGAGTGAAACTTCATTATGGATACCATATATAGTATGAATGAAACTTCATTATGGACACCATATATAGTGTGAACCTTAATGAGCTAGGCCTAACTGACTGAGAATTCAGTGCGAGTATTTGGATAGGCAGTTTAGCAACAGACTTTATGCAAACACACCGTCGAACTGTTTTATGTAAAAGTTATCAAGAATACTCCGTTCTATTTTTGTACTGGTATTTCATAATTAACTATGTGGGAAAAAGAATTAATGACGCTGTACAAAATTACCTTATAAGTTCTAGACGTTTAAACATCGAAATTCCAAATATTCTGAAAATATGGCTTTCGAATCCCAAACCTGTGAAACACGCACTAAAATACGGCGTTAGAACCCACAATCTACGAGACACGTATTCTGAAAACGCAGCATTTGAACCCATAAGCCTACGAAATACAAACACACGTATTCTGAAAATACACAGCGTGGGAGACACAATGCTATATTTATATCTCTAAAGTTGTTGAAGCTTGGATCCTGTTTTATGTTTTAAAAACACTTCTGCCAAGAGATTATTTGTGTGCAGGGAGCTAAGTTTGAAAGCAAGAAAACCGATGAAGTAAAACTAGTTAGAAAAAGACAGACTCATTTATATCTATATATATATAAATAAAGATCCGATCACGGTAATAGTATTGTTTGCTGACATACTGGTAGTCAGGAAACTACCCTTTAAGTAACAGCTGGTTCACTCTTTCTTTAACCATATATATTTTGATTTATTTATGTTTAACGATCTTGTACATTGCTAAACACTTGCACAATATGAAAAGTGTATCTTAAAATCATCTGTGTTTAGTGTATCAAACACGCGCAGTCCGAAGTAAACGTCCTTGATTACTTTATTGGCAGCGGAACACTTAGAGGCTATTACGTCACGAAATTAACACAAATAAGTAATTATACCGAGGCGTGCAGGTCCGTTTTGTTAGTCGGTTTCTATAGTAACGGTCTAATTCAAATAATACAAACACATCATCCTCATCAAGTCGCTGAAAATCAAGAGAGTTCACGTCTTTCTCCATGGAGGTTATGACGTGGGTAACCAAGGGAGAGCGGGGTGGGGGTGGGGGTCAACGACGGCCATTACCTGTTGCCGTATAAGAACGTTCCTTGTCGGTTGTTGCGGAACTTGCGCAGCCATAATTTGACAACCAGGGAAGAAAAACTGTCAGAACACGAGAATTATTTGGCACCAAACTTGCAGTATTTTGTCCAGAAAGAAATATTGATTGTTAACTTCTTTCAAGTTAAAACATCACTGACACGGCGAGAAAGCCCAATAAACGAGCCGTGATGATTTTGTAGTTATATAGGTAGAGACATATTTACATATGAATCATAAATAATTCATTGGGTATTTAAGTTTACATTGCACCATTAAAGTTTTTGCGGTCATCTCGTCAAATTCACGAGCGGCCTAGATGTGAAAAGTAAGAGTGAGCTACTCCGAACTGCTGAGCAGCCGATGCGGGAGACAGCATAGCGTATGGGAGACCGGCAGCGCCGGCTGCCGCAAGGTACGGGAACTGAGAGCCGTAGAAAAGTCCAGCCGTGGCCGGTGGCTGATAGTGCGGCATGGCTGGGTACCCGTTAGATAGGTTACATGTAGAGGAGGGAGGTATCGTAGGGCTATTGGCGTCCATTCCTGGGTTCTGCTTCTTCCATTTGGTTCTCCGGTTTTGGAACCAGATTTTGACCTGGGTCTCAGTAAGTCTCAATGACAGAGCTAGGTTTAAGCGCTCACATACTGACAAATATCGGGTTGTTTTGAACTTGTTCTCGAGAGCCACGAGCTGTTCGTAAGTAAACGCAGTCCTAGCTCGGCGAGGTTTTCCCGCCTTGTTTTCACTCGTGGCGGACTTCTTCTTCTTGCTAGATTTTGCTCCTTCTTTATCTCCTGATGGCAAGCGGTCACCTTCTGACGCTTTGTCGCTATTATCAGGCTGGTCATTCGATTCATTGTTAGTGCTGGATACTCTTGAGACTTCATTCTCTGGGTCAGTGTCGACTAGAAAAACAAAGAATCATAAGTGCTTTGAAACAATAAAGAAAGTTACATATAAAATAGCCCACGGATCTCTTCAGTATATTTAGAAAAGCCCACGAGGAAAGAAAGAATTGTATTTACTATTCAAAATCTGATTTATTTACTTATTTCTGACGAACTACAGAGACACAAAGCACAGGCTAAAAAATCCCCTGACCTGGGCAACAAGTAATCAATATTCACCAGTTTCGAAGGTAAAAGTTGTTTTCTTTGAAAGAAGCCAATGCACAGTTTTGTAAACTATTCAATGGTTAGACTTTGTGAAGTCATAACAAGAAACGTATGTTGTCCAGGCTAACATGCAGGTTAATTGTGATTTACATTAACCGGTTGAGGTGAAAATTGGTGGCGCTGCTGCTAATTATGGACTTTCTTTTTACTTAAGCATTTTGTAAGCGCGAAATTTTTACACACTTCTCAACTAAGATAGGTTTGAAGGTAACCATGTTATTAGTGCTTTGTTAACAGCTGCTAATTGACATGTTATTAGACTAACACACGAATATTGATGTTTTATCAAAAGCTGAAATTATTGTCAGGCTAAGACAAGAGATATATTTATACTTGTATTAACACTTTGTTAACAGCTGAAAATCGAAATGTTGTCAGACTAAATAAGAATGATATTAGTTCTTGTATTAACACTTTGTTAACAGCTGAAAATCGAAATGTTGTCAGACTAAGCAAGAATGATATTAGTCCTTGTATAAACACTTTGTTAACAGCTGAAAATCGAAATGTTGTCAGACTAAGACAAGAGATATATTATTCCTTGTATTAACACTTTGTTAACAGCTTAAAATCGAAATGTTGTCAGACTAAGTAAGAATGATATTAGTCCTTGTATTAAAACTTAGTTAACATCTGAAAATCGAAATGTTGTCAGATTAACAAAAATGATATTAGCCCTTGTATTAACGCTTTGTTAATACTGTTTTTGTGGGACATGTCTGATATTAATTTGATTATATCGCTTGGTTAACAGTTAAAAACATATTTTTAACTTACGATGGATAACTTGCTATTAACAGTCATAAACCTACGTTTAATACCTAATTAGGGTAAATCTGATGATAACTCTACAAATCATCTTTTGATGTAAAACAGTGTGAATTTTAATGTAATTTTAAATCCATATAATGTTTGCAGGTCTGATAATAATCTTTCTGTTAACGATGTGTTAGAGGTCAGACGCTTAAATATTGTTTGACTTAGGTAAGTCTGACAATGACCTTCTATTAACGCTTTGTTAGAAGTCCAATGTTTAATCATTGTTTGATTGTGGAAAGTCTGACAATGACTCTCTTATTAACGCTTTGTTAGAAGTCCAATGTTTAATCATTGTTTGATTATGGAAAGTCTGACAATGACTCTCTTATTAACGCTTTGTTAGAAGTCCAATGTTTAATCATTGTTTGATTATGGAAAGTCTGACAATGACTCTCTTATTAACGCTTTGTTAGAAGTCAAATACTTAAATTCTGTTTGTGTTGGACATGTTCGATAATAACTTGATTATGTCGTCTGTTAACATTTAAAAATACGTTATTAACTTACGATGGATGATGTGTCATTAACAGTTAGAAACATATTGTTAACTTACGATGGACGATATGGTAGAAAGCTATATGTAATGTCTAATTAGCGTAAATCTGATGATAACTCCACAAATCATATGTTCTAACATGGTGTAAATTTACGCCCCAAATGTAAAAGTAACTCAATAGATTTATCTCTTTTAATTTAATAGGAATTACGAAGATTAGTGTAACCATCATGTTCTGGACTGTTTTAGCTAAATCTTTCCTGGTAAGTTTGATGTGAAATAATCTAATCTTCTAAGGCTAAAGCTAATCCAGAAACTAAATATATAAGAAATTCAGGAAATTCTTAACGTATAAACAGTAAAGTAGACTAATTTGGAAGAAAAGAAAGAACCCATGAATGATGATGACACAAAAGAATAAAACTCAGAAAAATATTATATATTGTATAGGATCACATTTTAAGAAAAGAAAAAAAAGAATAAAACTTAAATATGGGCTTTTGTAACTTCAGTAAATTTACTTACACTCAGCATTAATGCTCACATAATCTGAAGTCAAGATAATTCCTAAAGTAATACAAGGTTATATTTTTTGTTTTATAATCGGCCTTATGCTTCGCTATTAATGGTACTTAAATAAACGTCAAGACGTGTAAAGCCCTTAACAAAAGTTTTTAAATGGTGTACACGTAAATGTTGTTTCATCTAACTGATTTTAGTTATAACCATTCTTATAATTATTACACAACATAAAGATTAATCTAAATCTTAACAATTCCGATAATCCAATACTTTTACCTACAATATATATATATATATATATATAAAGATCATGGTAATCCTTAACAACAATGGAAAAGATACCCTTGTCTACAAGCATGAGTTTGCACAGATCAGAATATCCTTAACAACAATGGAATACATATATGTGGTTACAAGTATGAGTTTGCACAGATCAGAATATCCTTAACAACAATGGAATACATATATGTGGTTACAAGTATGAGTTTGCACAGATCAGAATATCCTTAACAACAATGGAAAATATATCTATGTTTACAAGTATGAGTTTGCACAGATCACGATAATTCTAACAGTAGTGATAAAAATAACCTTATATATAGCTTATATAGAGGGCTTTCGATGGCCGTTCTCTTCACGTGGTCGTCCGCTTTCAAGACCGCGTTTAAGCAGACTAAAAAGACCATTGGAATTGCATTGCGTTGAAATGAAGTGGTGCATTTTAGGTCATTTGATCATTTTTCTCATGATAAAAACCTAGAAACTCATAAACCAGTGAATTTTGGTTAAATTCATATCATGTTTTAAATGGTACCAAGCTTTATTGCAACGGAATTTGGGGTCGCAAGATTCTCTCGAAATAATAGCTTTCACTTCGTGGATAAGGGTGTTAGATCAGAATGGTTTAAAATATGGTTTCGATCCTAAACGCTGCTGTGCAACTTTTCCCGCTTCTATAAGAAAACATCGAAGGATCACGTTCTCGGAATGTTGTGTCTTTCAACTAGCTATACATTGTTTAATAATGTCACAACACGAATATCTTTTTAAGGAAATTATCAATTTACATATCCGTCCACAGATAAGTGGCGATGTGGTACTGTGGAATGATAAGCATTTTGTCGAGAACCAAATAAACACTGGTACTCAAAATGTTGCCCAGGGCTCTTACCACTGCTAAATTAGATACATCAGAAAGCTTCTAGAACGATAGATCTAATAGTGTTCAACTTATTGGAGCATTTATTTTAATTATTAGATAGAAGATGCCAGTGCATTTAGAACAATAACAATGCTAAACCTTCTAAAAAATCTATTGCTGGACTGTTGACGTAAGGCTGTAGCTAAAACACTGAAAACAAGAGAAAGCAATGTTAATATTACATTGAAGACGTCAGATATTATCTAGAACGATTGATTTAACAGTGCTAAACCTAGTAAACAATCACTTTGATCATCAGATTGAAACTGTCGGACTGAGGTTTTAAACAAATGATTTAACAGTGTTAAACCTAGTAAACAATCACTTTGATCATCAGATTGAAGCTGTCGGACTGAGGTTTTAAACAAATTATTTAACAGCGTTAAACCTAGTAAACAATCACTTTGGAAAAAACCTAGAATACTACATAATATTTTAACTGTTTTATTATGGATGCCAAGTTATAGCTAAGTCGTTCGAACTGAAGATACCTAGCCATTACTAGAACTATGCTATGATCAGAGTAGAGACGTCAGGCGATAGTTAGGATAACAGATACAGACCTAACACAACGTTTCTTTATTATTGCTTTCAGAACGGCAACCCATAACTAGAACAATAGAACCAGATATAGGCCTAACAAAACGTTTCTTTATTGTTGCTTTCAGGACGGCAGCCCATAACTAGAACAATAGAACCAAATATAGACCTAACAAAACGTTTCTTTATTATTGCTTTCAGGACGGCAGCCCATAACTAGAACAATAGAGCCAGATATAGGCCTAACAAAACGTTTCTTTATTATTGCTTTCAGGACGGCAGCCCATAACTAGAGCAATAGAATCAGATATAGACCTAACAAAACGTTTCTTTATTATTGCTTTCAGGACAGCAGCCCATAACTAGAACAATAGAGCCAGATATAGGCCTAACAAAACGTTTCTTTATTATTGCTTTCAGGACGGCAGCCCATAACTAGAACAATAGAACCAGATACAACAATGTCAGAATGTAAACAGAGCAGTAAAATTAATAATAACAAAAATTCTAGAACGTGATCAATATTGAACTGAAGACGTCGGTCTCTAGCTATAACGATAAATCTAACATTGGTAAACCTGCAACAATACTTCTATTATTATATTATTATTATTGCCGTAAATCTAGTAGAACACTTTTACTATGGAATTGATGTAAAAGTGGTAAAATACTATTAAGTGTTTACTATAAGGTTAAAACATCACACTATAATCAAAACGATAGATCGAACAATTCTAAACATACAATAACTATCTTAAAGTTTGATTGAATATGTTAGTTTATAACCTGTACGATGAACCTAACAGCGTTATTCCTACTACAGTATTTATATTGTTATACTGAAGACGTTAAACTATAGTCATAATGGTGGATCTAACAATGCTATTCTTACTACAGTATTTATATTGTTATACTGAAGACGTTAAACTATAGTCATAATGGTGGATCTAACAATGCTATTCCTATTACAATATATATATATATTGTTATACTGAAGACGTTAAACTATAACTATGAATCTAATAATGTTATTCCTAATACAGTATTTATATTGTTATACTGAAGACGTTAAACTATAGTCATAATGGTGGATCTAACAATGCTATTCTTACTACAGTATTTATATTGCTATACTGAAGACGTTAAACTATA